AAATCAATTCAAATTCAGATAAAAATATCTACCTCCCTACACATATCCACTTCAGGCTATTTTTCTCCATAGACACACGTTCCTTTAAACAGTTTTCTGTTTTTCTGATGGCAGTTCAAGTATTTTAATGGCAGCCACACACCTCAAGGCCTTATATACCAGCTGGGTAAGGAATTTAAATGAAGCAGAGTACAAAAATCTGATCTTTCGTCTATGTCAATGAAGAAAACATACTCAAAACATTGCAAAACATAGTTTTTCATCAGTCTGTTCCCTTTCAAATGAACCAGTGAGACAATGTTTTGTAAATTTCCCCACAGTAAACAGCCTAAAAAAGGTATCTGATCACATCCTGCAATCTTTCCCTTTGATAGCATTCTCTGTTGGATGCACAATGGGTACTGGGTTTCCAGAAGAAATGTTCTTTCTGCGCGCACACACATTTTCTCTTGATTGTTCTTGTTGTGGTTTTTAGTGTTGTTTTTTGATAACATACTCTTATCAAAAGCACCAACAAAAATGTAATAAAAAGAGAAAGTGATGTTGTTCTGTTGGCTGTTAATCAACATTGATTGAAATAAAGGAAGGGCATGGATTCAATATTCATTCCATTTAAGCCAGCTGACAAGCAGCAATGAAAAGAGTTCTTACTCCTTTCAGAAAGAATATATTTACCTTTCAACTTGAGGTCCACATTTTGCCTCAGCCAAGGATAAACTCCATAGTTTGATGAGTCTTCAGGAATGGGATTATTAGATGTCCACCCATCACAGGCAAACCGAAAAAAGTTCTCACAGGGATCCACGGACTGGTTTACTTTGCTTAAGATGGAGGCAGCTGCAAAGTATCACATGGATTTATGGAATTTTTGGCAAAATAAAAAATTATGCAAGATTTTATTCACAAAATGACAGTTAACAAAGCAAGACTTTTCACCTTCATTTGAAATGTTGTTGTCTTGCTATTTCCAGAATCTATCTTTGCCTATACATAAACTATATACCAGTCAAAATATTTGTGCAGTCATTGTAATAATTCATTTAGACCAACCTGCCATTTATTGCTATGAGATATGGCTATCTGTGCAGCCAGACCTATGAAATGCTGAACTCACTCTGCATCTGTTTTATAGCAGGGCTACTCAACTTTGGAAACTCTGGGGGCCACAATATATATATATATATATATATATATATATATATATATATATGTGTGTGTGTGTGTGTGTGTGTGTGTATGCAAATATATGCAAATAGGTTCTTTCACACTGATGGGCATGAATGCAAAGATTAAGGCAAGACTACACAACACAACACATTACCCAATTTCCACCCATATGACAGCACTTTTAATGAGCAATGACAGTCCAGGAATTTAACTACTAAAACGCATATCAATAGAAGACCTTTATATTGACTGCTTTTTTGTTTTGGCTGCCACCCGCAGGCCGCATGTTGAGCCCTGCGTAAACCCAAACTGCACCTCGGGCCACAAACAAATGGGCCGCGGACCACATGTTGAGTAGCCCTGCTTTATAGCTTGGGCCCATCTTTACTAAATGTAGCACCTACTGGATGCTTTACCCTTAGGCAATTTTTGTACAGCTTTTGAATAGTTGTGAGACAAGCTGTGACCTAGACCTCAGGAACACACTGAAGTGATGCATTATTCAGTGCATTTTAAAGACAGTTGACTTGAGTAGCTCTCCAACTCTGACTCTGAAGTCTATGCACAGAGCGTCAATTTTTGCTGACCCAGCAACAAATGTAAGGCCACTTGTATATTTGCACAACTTACAAACATAAGCAAGAGTTCAGATAAAATACGAGCTTCCATTTTTCCTATAGCTCAAAATAAGCCCCATATTTTGAGGTTCTCAAACACTGAGACAGTTTATTCCACACTATGGTTTCCTGTTTTTTTTTCTCCCTCTCTCATCCTCCAGGGTTCAGCTGCAAGTGCCTAAATACCCTGCCAAAAAAAGGTTGTTGTTAAAAGGGACAAAATAGAAGCAGTAACTGTAGAAAATCTCATTAAAAAGTTTATTCTTATGAAAAAGTTTATTCTTATGAAATTTCCAAACCAATTCTGCAGTCTCAAAAAGTGCAGCTAAACAATAAAGGTTTCAAATGCAATCCAAACTCAGAGACGTAGCAAGGGTGTTATGTGCCTGGGCGCATAGGAAAAATTTGCACCCCTCCCCCTCATCGCCGCCGCATGGCAGGGCCCCAAACCTGAAACACAGCAGAGCCCACCATGTCTTCCCCCACCCTCTCCAGTTTGGAGCCGAGCCCCCTCATGCACTAACCCACCAGCGGAGATGGAGGAGGGTCAGGCTGGGAGCAGAGAGGAGGCTTCAGCCGGCAGCGGTGGGCGGAGGAGGAGCAGGCAAGCTGAGGGATGACAGGAAGAGCAGGGGGGGCCTACATTGGCACCCCCCCAGAGTGGCGCCCGGGGGAAACTGCGCCCCCACCCCAGTTCCTCTTTGCTATATCACTCTCCAAACTCTATGCATTAGGAGGTTCATCCTGTTACTAGAAAAAATATTGTCAACTTTATTCTAATTAAATACCTTGACAGTCAGATATTTACTTTCGTTAAAGTCAACCCCCACTGTTTTCAATGGGAGCAGAATTAAGCTAAAACTTAGGGTTTTAGAAAATTTCCTCTGACTTTATAAGGCACTTTGTCTGCAAACATTTACCGCAACCGTGACCACCGGATTCTTTAACTGGGCACAGCAGTCTGCCCGCATGCAACAAGCTACAACACCTTGGCCATTGTTACCATACTTGGTATTTAGTATTTGCTATACCAGGCTCTCCAGCATGTTATAAAATGTTTTGCTGACTAGTTACTTGGTTGGCTGCTGAAAAGGAAACGTAATTAGTATGAACATTCCTAAAAGAGACTTTATCCATCATTTGACATCCAGTAAAACAGGATACAGTAGAACACAATATCAATACTAAAACAAAAGTGAAAAAAGAACTACCGTAAATTACTGCTGAGTTGGTTTTGTTTCCAAGCCTCCTTGAGAGAAAAAGGAGTCATGGAACAGTAGAATAGAATCAGTATTTCATATGTCTTTCAACCAAAGTATTGTAATCTTACTATATATTTGAGAAATGTGTCTGTCCGTCCATCCATCTGTGAGTTCGTCTGTTCAAGCACTCCTTCTAAATGGTAAGAGCTAGGACCACCACATTTGGTAGGCAGCTTCCTCTTATCATAACTTAAAGCACAGTCAGGGTTTGGATGTGCCAGGACAATGAGATGTGCCTGGAATTGGTTTGTTTCTCATAGAATGGACAAGGAAGAGTCTGGCAAGTGGGAGTTATACTGCAAAATGATCATAGGGGCAGGAAAGGGCCAGAAATGGGGACCGGGACAGCCATAATCCCACTGAGCCAGCAGAGGGAAGAGTGGGAAAAGGGACAGCTATCTACTATATATTTCAGAAAGTGTGTTTGTTTGTGTGTCTTTCTGTCCCACTGTCTGGAGACGTGCACCCTTCCCATGGCTGGTGCTGCTGGAGCTGCAGCAGCCATGGACAGCTGCTTCTCACCTGGCCGTAAACTGCTGCGGTGAGAGACGGTTGGGGTTGTCCTCTCTCCCTGGGGCAGCCTACACACTGAACCCCTCACCCCCAACCCCACCCCAGAGAAATAATTTAAATGATGAAAAACAAAAAATTAATTGAATTAAGGATCTGACCAACACTGAAGAAATCTAGTTATGATATAAAACAGGATTGAAAATTGTTGCTTACCAGATTCAATGCATTCTGATGTCAAGCAATACTGTTGCTTAGGATAAAGGTTTATAAGACCTTGGCTAACTGCAAAATGAAAAAAAAAACAAATTGGGATAACTTGTACTGCAATGAATTAATTGTTAGCATTTTGAGTCAGACACAATGAACTCTGTATCTTGCACACACTGCCACATACATACGAAAGAATGCAACCTTTTTGCCTCTTTTCTCAATAAATTGTACTTGCTAGGTGGGTGCTGAATCGTGTTCCAATGCCCTGTTACATGCAGAGAGCCAGACGAGGGCTGTGTCCAGACTCAGGGGTTTTTTCGAAAAAAGTAAGCTTTTTTCGAAAAAACTTCACCTGCATCTAGACTGCAGCCGCATTCTTTCAAAATTAAATCGAAAGAACGCGGCTTTTCTTTCGATGGCAGTAAACCTCATTTCACGAGGAAGAACGCCTTTTTTCGAAAATGCTCTTTCGAAAAAAGGCGTTCTTGAATGCCAACAGGGCTTTTTAGAAAGAGAGCATCCAGAATCACTCGCTGCTTTTTTTCGAAAAAGTGGCTTGCTTTTTGGAAAGTTCCGCTTGCAGTCTAGATGCTCTTTTTCGAAAGAGGCTTTTTCAAAAGATACTTTCGAAAAAGCCTCTTTCGAAAGAGGCTTGCAGTCTAGACATAGCCTAGGAGATCTGGTGGTCTATGAAACACGTGCTGCTGTTTTGTTCTTTATAAATCTAAAGTCCCTCACCTGCAGACAACATTAAATGGCTAACAGTAGGGCATCACTGGTGGGAAGCCAACGTAACAGAGATGCTAGTTCTTGAACTGACCTCAACATACTGTGTCTTTGCCAGCTTAGAAGATCTCACACCCATTGGTCATTTTAATGTCAAATAAATTAGTGGATACTCTTACATCAGAAGACTATTTTTTTCAAACAAGACCAAAAGGATAATTTAAAATAAAAATCAAATAGCTTTATCATATCCCTAGTGGTTTTCAGTAGAACCATAGCTTTTCAAATGCTTCAGACAGCTACTGTGCGTTAGCTTCTTTACTGGTTTTCAGAAGCTTTCCAAGTCTAATATTTCAAAAGGTTATCCAAAAAATATATGCGCAATTCTTCTGGGGGCTTAAGGAAGAAATCTTTTGAGAGATGCTGTTTTGTAGATCTAGTCTAAGGATGGAAAAACAATTTTGAAAAAAAATTGAAATGTATCACTTGTTTTTGTTTCACGTTGTTTGACAGGGAAGAGCTTTGTGTTTCTTCAATTTTTTCTCTAAATATTTTTGAAAACCCACATTTTTTTTAATTTTGTTTTTCCTCCTTTATTTCCTATTTCCTGAGTGCTTTAAAATGAACAACACCCAAGATTGATGTTGGCAAGTTGTATGTTTAGGAGGAATTCATTTTTTTTCCTTTTTCAGTCTAAAATGTTTCAAAACCTCTCCCACTTTTAAAAAGATACTGAGAAGAAAAAGGGGGAAATGTTATCAAGTGAAAAAAAATAAGCCTAGCCCTTATCCACTCTATTGTGCTCAGTGTTTTAGAAAAAAAAAGGAAAAGAAGCAGTGAGCTGGGAAAAATCTGACATTTCAAAATTATTTTAGTTTTCAAAAACAAAAACAAAATTTCAACACAAGCCAAAACCACTTTGTTTTGTTTGGAATTTTCCTGTAAAAATTAAAATTTGAAATACCTTTTTGTTTTTAATTAAACCATATTTTAGGGAAATTATTTTACCTGAAAAGTTTTAACCAGCTCTATTGTCTTGCCTTCTGATATTACTAGAATACACTGTTGCAAACAATTGTGATTACTTTACCCATTCATTATATGACAGCTATTTTACATCTACTTCTTAAGGTTAATTTCAGACTTCTAAGGTAAAAAGGAACTATAAATACCTGAATGTGAGAACACTTAAAAGCCATAGAAATTATCTCAATAGCTTTACAGTTTGTTAAGTCCAAAGCTAACAACAAAGAAGGGGCAAAGGGTATGGAAATCAAACCTTAAATTGCCTTAGTCTCTGATCTTGCTGCCAGAGAAGGAATGGAGAATGATATTTCCTTCCCCTCTGGCCCCACCACCAAAGAAGATTAGAGTGGGCCACGAGTTACTAAATGTACATAGGATTAAGGGCTTTTAAAGATGCTTAATGAGAAACTGAATGGTAGGGCTTTCAAAGTTCATGGAGACAAGTTGACCAGGGAAGGGTGTGACTGTGGAGCATTTGGCATTTTATATGGACTCATAGCCAGAATTTTAAACTACCCACCCCTGGCAGAGCCGCCAAGGGAAAGTAACAGTTCAGCAGTAACAAGATGGATGGGATGTTCAGGGACATGCCACTCCTATGTGAATCAGCTTTTCTTCCAGGAAGAGAATTCTGTTAAAAGTTTATTGGCATACTCTGACATAAGCTGGTTAAGCATCTTGCTAGAGGTCTTGCATTTTTATGCAGAAAATAAAAAACAAGAAACCCCACTAGTCAGAGAGAGATGACTTTTCCAGTTTCTTGTAAATTCAGACTCTGTGTTTCAGAGATTCTGGGCACCCAAAAGTCCCAGTAAGATGAAGGAGAGTTATGGATGCTGGAGGTCTGGATCCTGCTCCCGAAGAAGTCTGTGGGAGTTTTCCCATTGGACCACCGGGTGCAGGACTGGCCCCATTGTTTATATAATTGTCTCTTGAGCATTATATATTTTTGCTTGCATGTCCTGTATAATCATTGCATATAGAACCTTGCATCTTCAGTGAACTTCAGTGATTTAAGCTTATATATTACCTAGAAATAATAAATTCAAAGAAGAAACAATCCCTCTTTCTATTATTATTCTAGCTATATGATACTCTATTCTTTTAAAGTGAAAAAACTGCTCTGGAATCAGTATTTTGTACTCCAACTGTGGATCTGATTCTGCCCAGAAGTTATGAGTTATGGATGTATGAAGTTTCACACTTAGATGAATTCTCTGAGACTCCTTGTGTCCTACGTGCAGTTGTTCTTTTAAAAGTTGCTTTTACAGTTACTCATGTGTAAGTGTTTGCAGGCTCAGGACCAAGATACTGGAGCCTGTTGCTTTAAATTTTCCATATAAAAGCTTTTTGCTGATGGACAAATGATTTTTTTAAAGTGGTTATCAGTATAAAGTCCGAGGCTAGTATACTTTTCGAATAAGACCACAAACGATCTGAGAGAAATAAAATGCATTCATAATTTTAAAGGCCAGATTCACAACTGTATAAAGTAGCATAACCCTGTCTAATAAAAATAAAACGACACTGATTTATTCCACGTAAGGATCTGGCTCTGTTGAGCTTTTATGAAAGACTGCCTTTTTAGATGGTTTTCATTTAATAATAGGCATCTTTGGAATGTCATTTCACATTGTTATTCCAATTCATTGTATAGATCTGTGTATGTACTTTACTGTAAATGAATTTTACTGAATATTGCTTAAATGCCACATGTTGGAGAGGAAAATATTCCTTCTTCACTCTGTTCAACTCTAGTAAATTAATCTGATGCAAATAGTTTAATTTCAACCAGCATGCATTTGATTGCCATCTTTCCAAAGAAGATTCTGCAATTCATCAGAAAAATAGTAACTGTTTCTAAAAAAAGTGTGGAACATTTAGTCAAATCCTAATGGAAACCAGATGAAATGAACATCCATAATGATTCCATAAAGCACACATACAATAGCTCAGTTTTCTGCAAACAGAAAATATTAACCTATATTAGTCAGAATCTATCAATTAATCAGTGTAATTAAGTCACAATCATACTGTCTCTCCCCAAAGTCTAGAAGAGCACAAGTTTTAAAAGAGTACATTCTACTGACTACTTAAATTCAGGTGAAGTATTCAAAGCTATAATAACTGGTGTTGCAGCTCCCAACTATAATAGTTTGTTTTTAAAATGTCTTTACTGAAAGATTTGCATTTCCATTTATATAAAAGAAGAAAGGATATAGCCAAAAATGTGTGTAGGTAAGACATATAGTATTTGCATGCAGGGAAGTAGAAGAAAACCTTGAGAGTTTCAATTTTGCTCATGTATAAGTTTTAACTTACCCAAGAAAAGTACAATTCCAAGCACTACGGTAACACTTATGAACACACCAAGGGCTATCCGAATGGCTTTGCTGGCAGTCCTCTTTGTACCTGGCACTGAGTTACCTGTTGCCTCTCCTTCCATTAGAATGAATTTAGAAAGCCTTGAGAAAAAAATCTTGTTTTCTTTCTACTGTTGTTGTGCCAGTACTTCAGCTTTTCACAAGCCCAACGTTTAAGCTCTGTCTTTTCTGTCACAATCTTATTTCAGCTTAAAGTTCCTGTTGTGAACCATTTCCTAGCTCACACTCCAAAAGAAAAACACCAACATAAAACACTGGCTCCCTTAAGTTTTCTCTGATCAAGACTTGGGATGAGACACAGTGACTACTTTATTTACAGCTCTTGCAGTTTGCAAAGTCTGTATGAATCAATTGCTTAATAACCCCCTTTCTCAATCCAGAATATGAATATTTCACAATATTGCTGAAGAGATACTTTAGCTACTCAAACATATAGTGATAAAACCCTTTTCTATAGAAACTAAACTTCTGGCAAACTTTTTCTAACATTAAAATTGGTGGTGTGGCTTTTCTTGCTGTTATTTTAAAAAAACTAATTATCTACTGAACATAATTCATTTTTCTTCAATCATCCTTGCTGCATCATTGTCTTCATTAGAAAAGACGTCCTCTCATGTGTTCCAATCCTTTTATAATGTTTCCTTGCTGGTGGGGGGAGGAGAGATTGGGATATCCTGTAGTATTTTATTTTGGGAACTTTGTGTAGGATACTATATTCCAAAAATCATAGACATGCTCAGATGCAGGGCAAAGTAGTAATTAAGACAACCTATAAAAGAATTCTCTCTTTCTTTTTAAATTTCAGACAAGCCATATTCCTGGTCCTGTGGTCCTGCTATATATGTAAAAGACACTCAGGTTCTGAATTAAGCACTTCTGTTATTATGATAGCAGAGAACATATCCAATTGAGGCAATTCTGGATAGGGGAAGGTTTAGCTACAGGGATTTCGGATTTTCCCTCTGGTCTGAGCCAACTAAGGATTCGTGGTCCAGCTTTAAAACTGATCCCCCCTTACACTGACCCTACCCAACAAAATATTCCTTGTGAGATATCATTTCATAGAATCATAGAACCATAGAGCTGGAAAAGACTTCTGAAGGTCATCAAGACCAGCCCCCTGCTCTAGGCAAAATCAATCCCAACTAAATCAACCCAGCCAGGAGTTTGTCAAGCCGAGACTTAAACACCTCTAGGGATGGAGACTCCACTACTTCCCTAGATAACCCATTCCAGTGCTTCACCACTCTCCTATGGTATGTCTACATTACAGCGCTAATTCGAACTAAGCTAATTCGAACTAACGCATCCAGACTAAAAAAATTGTTCGAATTAGCGTTTTGCTAATTCGAACTACCATGTCCACATTAAGTGGATCCTGAACCGGGGATAAGGATGGCCGGAAGCAGTGCCGGCAGGGCATCAGATGAGGACTTAAGCTGCTGCCTCAGGCTAGCCGAAGGCTGTGCTTAAAGGGACCCTCCCTCACCTCCTTCCACTTACCCTTCCCTAGCCCCCCTTCCTGATGTACAAAATAAAGAAAATGTGTGGTCAAAAATAGAATCTCTCTTTATTGAACAAAACTCGGGGAGACTGGAAAAAGGAGGTGGGAGAGGGGAAGAGAGGGTGGGAGAGGGGAGGGCAACTACAATGATCAGAGGTTTGGAACAGGTCCCATATGAAGAGAGGCTAAAGAGACTGGGACTTTTCAGCTTAGAAAAGAGGAGACTGAGGGGGGATAGGATAGAGGTATATAAAAGCACGAGTGGTGTTGAGAGGCTGCATAAAGAAAAGTTCTTCATTAGTTCCCATAATAGAAGGACTAGAGAACACCAAATGAAATGAATGGGTAGCAGGCTTCAAACTAATAACAGAAAGTTATTCTTCACAAAGCAAATAGTCAACCTGTGGAACTCCTTGCTGCAGGAGGCTGTGAAGGCTAGAACTAGAACAGAGTTTAAAGAGAAGTGAGATAAAGTGATGGA